GAGATGCTGCCATGACCAGGGGCTCCTGCCTCCCAGCTCAACCTCATACTAACCCTGGACCAGAGCCCCATCTCTGTGGCAGAGAGCAGTGACAAGGCGGGCAGTGGGAGAAGAACCTGCTGCAGCTCAGTGTCTCCCCAGACTGCTCTCCCCATCCCACGCCAGTCAGCCAGGGTAGCAGGCACTCACCCAGCACCACCGCATCCTCCTTGCCACGGAAGTCCTTCTGTAGACCCTCCTTCAGGGAATCGAACATCACGTGCAGAAGGTTGCAGGCAGCCAGGGAAACCTGCTCGTGCTCCACACCCAGCACTGCCGAGAGACGAGGGGCCCCCAGCTCCACCAGGATGGCCATGGTCTGCAGGTACAAGCACAACTGTCTGCTGGAGACTTCAGGGAAGTCCTTAGCGCCTCCCAGCACCTTATCAGGATGGTTCCCTATCACAACAAGGCTCTCACAAACTCAGGCCTGGCAGGTAACAGCTCAGAGTTCCTCTGCCCAGCAGGGCTGCAGCCAGCCGCAGGCAGAGGCCAGCGACACTCCCCTGCCCAACACGTTTCGCAGCCTCTCCAACATCGATTCCCCTGGGCCGGGCCCTGTTATGCAGGGGAGCTGGGCTACGGTGGGACCTACCCGGGAGCGGTGCCCAGAGCACAGCCCCACCAGGGTGCGCAGGGCTGCCAGCATCAGGTCAGCCTTGGCCGTGTCGAGCAGCTGCGTCAGCAGCCGCACACCATCGCTTTGGAAGATTTTCTCTGCTCCAGCCTCCTCTCGTGCCAGCACAATCAGGTTCTGCACAGCCTGGGAAAGGAGAATCACGTCCGGGTCACCTGCCCACCAGAATGCAGCCACTGTGGGCAGGGAACCTCCCCAGCAGGAGCTGGCTGGGCAGCCAGCACAGCTGCAGGGACCTGCCTTCTGTACACAGTCTCTGGGGAGTGCATTCTGCTGGCGGGAAGCCTGGCCTCACCTGGGCAGCACTGTCCAGCCAGCAGCACTGACCTGGAAATACCATTCCTCCCCTCCCTGCCTTCCAGCCAAGCCATGTTGTCCTCCACTCCCCAGAGTTCAAACCTTTTGTTTCTTGTCTGCATCCTTTTCTTCAGGATCCAGCAAGATCTGAAACATCTGCTCTACTTTCGAGTCTGTGCAGGACATAGTCTTCATCTGAGACAGAGCAGAAAGTGCAGCTCAGCCCTCACTGCTTCCCTGAGCCCATCACACCCACGGAGGGGCCACAGCAGCCCCCACTACCCATGCTGCCTCCCTGCTCACCTTCTCATGCATGCTGCTCCCCAGGGCACGCAGGGCCTCCTGGAAGGTCTTGTTCTTGGGCTCCAGGCTCACACACCGCTGCAGGTCACTGACAGCCTGGTCCAGACGGCCCAGCTTTTGCAGCGCCTGGCTCCGGCGGAACAGCGCCTTCATGTCCCGACCATCAGCTTCAATGGCTGTGGATGAGTGTGGGATCTATCGCAAAGCCCCAGGACTGGCCTGGTCTGCCTGGATGGGCAGGGCACAGAAGCCAGTCCCTTGCCAGGCACCACTGACAGTACCTTTAGATGCATCAGCCTCTGCCTTGGCGTAGTCCTCCTGCAGAGAGAGAAAGAGTCAGCAAGAGGGAAACGCGTGATGCGCTGCCTGTGCAGGCCTAACTCAGCTCAGTCTGCTGCAGGCAGAGACAGACTTTAGAGAGGAGGACAGGGAAAGGACCGTGGGGTTCAAGAATGGAAACAGTATCACTGAGGACAGTAAGCCAGCCCAGTAGGGCATCCTGTCCTTCCCAGAATGCAACCCCCACAGGGTCCCCAAGGAGCCCCAGGGCCTCTGATGCTTTTCAAATGGTCCCTTTCTCCTTGAGCCCCTGAAGTCCCTTGTGTTCCCCCTTGCCTCAGAGACAGTTCCACGCTGGGAGATCAGCCCCAGGGCATATGCACAGTCCAGACATGGATGGGAGTGCCCTGCCATGGCCCTGACAGCCCAGCCGGGGCAGCATGGGACAGCAATCACGGCCAGGAAAAAAGGCAAGCAGAGAAAACACCAGTGTCCTACCCGGAGACCAAGTGCACCCTGCCTGGGAACCAACAGGGCTGCCCAGTGCAGGCGCACAGCTGGCGAAAGCGGATGGGCCGGGGCTGTCGCCAGCAGCACAGCCCCAGCCGGCCGGGGCGGCCGGACAGGTTCCTGC